CACATCATCAGAACACGACATAGAAAACTGCTTGTATTCAGTCATTATCAGAAAAGAACTTACTTGTTTTTTGATTAGAAACAAGATTATTCAAAATGACGACCGCACCTGTGAATTATCTTTGAAGGAATAAACAAATATCACCTATATACCTACATTAATTTGATGTATCATATTAACACCTGGCGGTTTATTGACGAACCTCACAAAGGAAGGAAATTTAGTTAATTAGGTGAAACTAATAGATCATATACATAACTTCATCTGAACCGATTTTCAAATCAACAAATCTTAATTCAGTGTCAAAAAAAACCATCTTGATTTTGTTTACAGCTTTTGTACCATCTACGGAGTGTTTCGGAAAGGCAGTGTCGCTCTCCTCATGGTCTGTGCCAGGTCAGGTTAAAAATTCACCCTGGAATGTTCGTGCCTCATGAATAAAAATACCCCCAGGATTTTATGCTGACGCTACCTTGCAAATACCGATCGACAATTTGAACTACGTTCTGCCGACCGTCCTTACCCTTTATGTCGACATATATCGACTGATATTGTCAAATAAAATGCAAATACCACACGAGCTTTCAGAGGTGTCCGTTCCCGTGTTGTTGTGATGCATAATATTTAACACGTCGCCATCGAAATTGGCATTATGTGCAATTGTTTGCAGATGTTTTGTTTTTTATTTGTATTGTTTCTAGATAAAATACGAAACGTCTTATCTACTCTCTTTGGGATATAGATGCAAAAGGACTTGCAGAGAAAGGATAAGTGAGTTAATGGCGAGGGAATGCGTTGCTCTTTTGCACTTTCCCGATTAGTGACAAATATGTGGAGACATTTTGGAAAATCGAAAACACAATCTTACATCTTGATTGCATTATATTTATCGATTATACAGACTATTTTAAAATGGAAATACGGTCAGACCTTTTAGTCCTCGTAAAAAGAAAGTTGGTCCTCCGAAAATAATCCGATTTTCTTCAAATATGAGTCTACCAGTTTAATACCGTTGACCGAATATGACCAGAGAAAAGTGCCAGATTCAGTGTCATTGCAGACAATATTTTTTCCCCTCTTTTTAATTTAGAATTATGAGATCGTACTAAATTTCATTAACAATTTTTACATTTTATGACTGTCATTTTTTTAGCCGCCAATGCTCATATCGTTGCTAAGGAAGCTATGCTATATGTCGACATCTCTGTTTGCATGGGTTCGAGTATCAGGTTCGGCTAACATGGGTAGTACGTGAGAAAGCCTGCCAGTAGCTTCTCGTGGGTCGGTGGTTCTTCACGGTGCGTTCCAGAGTTCTTTCTCCATCATTCATGCTGACCGCCATGTATAGTCTATCTTGTGCTAATGTGTCTGAGTTCCCGATGGACTTGTTTCAAACACATTGTCGATTTACTTTACTTTGTTGCAATAAATGTCTTGACTGTAATTTGAACTAAGCAAAATTCTTCATAAAAGTGTGTTCACGTATATATTTCGCAGAACTTAACAAGTGCCAATGCTCACTGGAACGCTTTCGTTTTCAAACTCTTCAGCTTTGGAGGTAAGTAAATCTTGCGATCGCTCTGGTGACTTAATAATTAGAGCGTCCGCCTCGGATGCGGGCGATCAAGGGTTTGAACCCCGGCCGAGTCATACCAAGACTTAAAAAATTGGCTTCAACAGAGCTGCCTCCCTTGACGCTCAGCATTAAGAGGTTAGTGTTAGGACTGGTCGGCCTGGTGTCAGGATAATGTTACTGGGTGTGACATCATGCTACATGTCTGCGGCACGATGCTCCAGTGATAGACACCATTATAAACTGCCTCGCTGCAGACATCGTATCGATGTTACTGCAAAATTGTTAAAGATATGTTAAAAAATCCAAAGCACACAAACACCATACGTACGAACTTGGCGTTCATGTTCTGATGTGGAAACATGCAATATCCTCCTTTTTCTCGCACAAGCTGTAATAATTAATTTAAAGATTCTCTACTGCTTGATAAATGAAATACAATACAGCACTCCATATTCTATGATCATTATAGATTGACGCTCAACATCTTAGTGAGGATGTACACAATAAATGCGATGTCTATGTGTGAATGTGTGTGTGTGTGTGTGTGAGAGAGAGAGAGAGAGAGAGAGAGAGAGAGAGAGAGAGAGAGAGAGAGAGAGAGAGAGAGAGAGAGAGAGAGAGAGAGAGAGAGAGAGAGAGAGAGAGAGAGAGAGAGAGAGAGAGAACTTGCGAATTATTTTCGGCCTATTCTACCTGGATGGCGTAGAACACACAGTACTAATGATATGGAAGAATGAAAACCAGCCTAGAAATGGGTGAACATTTAATAGCGTATGATGGGTTTGGCTTGCCAGAATTGGTTAATAATGTAAGTTATGTTTTAGGAAAAAGAATTTTTGAGAACACATCCTAGTTGTAAGTGACAAAAAATAGAGACATTGTTTTATTGATAGAATTCCAGTCCTTTAACAGTCTTGAGTTTGGAACACTCAATAATAAAATTAGCACCCGACTCTTTGGAGCGGAATTGAAAGCACGTTTCAAACACATACAAGTCCGAAAATTGCCGCGGCTCATATACTTTCCTCTTCACAGAAGCGGACATCCAGGTTTCATCTATACTGGTAAATATAGATTTGATCAGGGCACTCAGAAATTTTAAGTTATTGAATTTTTAATATCACGGTGGTTGCATAGGTTTACTACGGGAACGGAATTAGTAGTGTGAGTCCTGTAATGTCTGTTCACGTACGCTTTGTTTCGTTATACCTTGCATGAAGTGCCAGTCTACTGATTGGCATGACGTCCTGATAAATCGTACTGATGTAGAGCAAGAATAAAGAGTCCTGCGAATGCGTGGTCCTTAGTTTCATTGGAGGAACATTATATGTGGCATTTGTGCATTTTAGTAGCCTTGAACGACAGCTACCGGTATTTTAAAGTCCTCTGAAATATAGGGAAAACAGTAAATTCAAGACAGACTCATGCAGTGTGTTCGATATTGTTTTCTTCCGTTCGTTCTTAACACTAGCGTATTGTTATTGACTAGCTGCATTTATATGCACCTGGCACGTTGCAATAACTTCAAGCCAAAGAGTTGCACAAAATGATAAAATTTTCTACTGTACATAACAAAACTAAAGTTACCATTTCAACGAGGCAGTGACGAATATAATCGTGGCTTGTCTCAATAATATATATCACGAACATTTCTTAAAGACTTTAATGAAGAAATCTATATGAACATATATGAAGAGCCAGTGACCAGCCACGTATGTATGTATGTATGTATGTATGTATGTATGTATGTATGTATGTATGTATGTATGTATGTATGTATGTATGTATGTATGTATGTATGTATGTATGTATGTATGTATGTATGTATGTATGTATGTATGTCTTGTAAATTCCTCTGGTAATCATTCGAAGCACCCACTACTTGTGAGGTAAAGTTATCAATCCGACAATCCCCGACCCTGATTATATATTCAAGGTGTGTAAGGACTTCTATATTTAAAGATCACCACCATTCTCAATAATGCGACACATATTACGATAACATCGCAAACATAAGCAAACGCTTAATTATGCCAGTATCGTATTTATCCGTTTATAAGACGAGTCAAACTTCAAACAACAAAAGATCAAAATCTGGACAACGTACATGCAGATCAGGGTGTTGTTGTTTTGTTCTACTGATTACTCCTTACAAACTGCTCAGACCCAGATCTGCAGTCCCATCATACGACGGAAGATCTGGGTCTGTGTAGTTTTCAGTTGAACTCGACTTGTAAGTGAATATAGACTGTAGTTTATGTGATGGAAAATAAACCGTTTGTGCCATTGCACATTAATTACACGATAAACTAAATAACTGGAATGAAGCGAAACTGATTTTTATTTTACTTCTTACTTCCTTCTTTTTAATCTCCGTTGAACATTAGTCAAAACATTCAAACTGACTTCTAGAATGCGACTTATTACGTACTTTTAAAGGAATTAGATTAATAGTAAATACATATTGCGAGTTTACAAACGCAATCAATGCTATTTTAGAAACAATCTTTGCAGGAAAGAATAAAAGCCTACGGTATTACTTGAGGAGGAATAAGGACTTTTAATCTGCAAATAAGTTAAAAATTCTTTGAAATTAAAATTAACATGTATAACATTTCATATGTGGATGCAAAAGTTATAATAAACGATTTTATTACATGGTTTATACATGTTTATGTTTTAATACCGTTTTTGTTTTGACAGCATGTATCATTTAGTTTTTGTTTCATTCTAAGTCGACTTGTATCAATAATTTAAGTCCGTATGAAGAGTAACAACTACATCGAACCTAATGCAATGAAGCGACTCATCGATTATATCAAACCACCTCTACTAATAAGACGTTTTTAGTATATACTATAAGCGACTCATCGATTATATCAAACCACCTTTACTAATAAGACGTTTTTAGTATATACTATAAGTGACTCATCGATTACATCAAACCACCTTTACTAATAAGACGTTTTTAGTAAATACTATAAGCGACTCATCGATTATATCAAACCACCTTTACTAATAAGACGTTTTCAGTATATACTATCAGCGACTCATCGATTATATCAAACCACCTTTACTAATAAGACGTTTTTAGTATATACTATAAGCGAATTATCGATTACATCAAACCACCTTTACTAATAAGACGTTTTTAGTATATACTATAAGCGACTCATCGATTATATCAAACCACCTCTACCAATAAGACGTTTTTAACGTATACTAGCAGAGATTTTCCTTTAAGGAAAAAAGTGTAAACCGTCGAAAAGACTGCTTGATGCGTAAAGCATTCTGAGTTCGAGCTGGCATTATATCCTCTGTAGATTAATTTATCTCTGGCCGCATCTATTTTAAATGTAGATCACTCATGCAGAAAAAGGAGAAATATCTTTTAACAAATAGGCAATATCCATTATGCACAACCACTTCGGTGACCTCAGTGATTAGAGCGTCCGCCTCGAATGTGGAAGGTTGCGAGTTCGAACCCTGGCCGAATCATACCAAAAACTTGTAAAAATGGTGCTAGCAACTGTCTCGTTTGCCGCTCAGCAGCAAGAGGTTAGCCTTATGACTGGTCAGCCTGTTGTCAGGATAATGTGACTGGGTGGGACAAAGTGTATTATTGATCATTTTCCATTCAAATCCGTGTAATATCTACTGTTGTACATCATTTGTAAAATTAAAGAGAATTGTCAGGCCTGAGCTGCACTGTGATGTTAGGTACAAGACCTAATTTACTTTATCGTGTAATGAATGTGCAATGGTACAACTGTTACAACTTGCAGTACATGTAAATGTTGAATAGGAATCACACACACACACACACACACACACACACACACACACACACACACACAGTGTGTTTATTTGCAACATAGTTTTAAAAATTTTAGCCATATGACTACGATGTGTACATTAAGTTTATAGTGATGTTTATCACTAGGGCGTCATGCCGCAGACATGTAGCATTATGTGTGCATTGTGTAAATAACACAACAATAAGCACCAATATTCTTCAAAATCATGAAACAATCATTTCATTTTAAAAACACCTGCTGTCCACAATATTTCTTTTAATGTTTTTTACTTTTTTACCCTAGTCTAAAGAAATAACCTATTTCAAGGTAAAAGCTGAGATAAAGCTTTCTTCAAAATTTGATGTATGTATGTATGTATGTATGTATGTATGTATGTATGTATGTATGTATGTATGTATGTATGTATGTATGTATGTATGTATGTATGTATGTATGTATGTATGTATGTATGTATGTATGTATGTATGTATGTATGTATGTATGTATGTATGTATGTATTGTATGCATATGTATGTATGTATGTATGTATGTATGTATGTATGTATGTATGTATGTATGTATGTATGTATGTGTGTGTGTATGTATGTATGTATGTATGTATGTATGTATGTATGTATGTATGTATGTATGTATGTATGTATGTATGTATGTATGTATGTATGTATGTATGTATGTATGTATGTATGTATGTATGTATGTATGTATGTATGTATGTATTGTATGCATATGTATGTATGTATGTATGTATGTATGTATGTATGTATGTATGTATGTATGTATGTATGTATGTATGTATGTATGTATGTATGTATGTATGTATGTATGTATGTATGTATGTATGTATGTATGTGTGTGTGTGTGTGTATGTATGTATGTATGTATGTATGTATGTATGTATGTATGTATGTATGTATGTATGTATGTATGTATGTATGTATGTATGTATGTATGTATGTATGTATATGAGAGTGCATGCATGCATGCACACACACACACACACACACATATATATATATATATATATATATATATATATATATATATATATATATATATATATATATATATATATATATATATATATATATATATGGACGTATTAGCGGTTAACGGCAGCTCAGTAAAGAGCCGTTTTAAGGCATAGGCACGCGAGACACGTGCCTATGGCTCCGTGTAGCAGGGGGCCCACGAGGCGGCCCAAAATCAAAATGTTGGTGTCTAGCAGTTTAGTACTACTCTATTAGTAAATTTAACAAAATGACACACATGCACATGGAAATGCAATGCAGTACTACCTATCTGAGACAGAGAGATTGATACGCAATTCTGTTTACTTTTAAGGTTAGAGTTTGCGCCTAGGGCCCCCAAACTTCTGAAAACGGCGGTGGCTCAGTACAAGAATCAATGGTGCCAATTAACACAACAGTTCTGAAAATGTTTAAATGAAGAATTGCACAAAAACGCCGAGAAGACACACCCTTACAAATACGTGCAAACATTAAATACAAGAAGGTACATTATAAAAGGTAAAGATGTTAAAATGTTATAAATGGTATGCATAAATCAACGATGGGTCAGAGTTCTTTTAAGGTGCAAAATAATCAGACACGAAAACATTTAAACGTACATAGACCAAATAAAGCAGTCTATATTATGCATAAAGTGATGTTTCCTTTGAATTAAAACCAAAATCTTGCACATTTGGTGCGGAATGCAAGTTCTCGAACCAGATCGACAAAACATCAGTTAGGTGTAGTATACTCAATGTCCCAGTTAAACAGAAATATAGGAAGCCCCTCCCACCTCTTTTGGCCCTCAAGGTCCTCCCTCTCATCATTGCCTTCCTGACCCTTCACTTCTGCCATTTCAGTAAACCCCTTGCCTTTCTCCAAATCAAATACAACTCCTTATTTCGGCTTTTCCTTTTTTCTGTTTATTTTTATCTACTTTAAATTTAGTATTTATATTTTCCAAGGATGAAATTCTAATTTGCAATGCTAGACGGGTCCTTCTTTTAATTTTCTATTACTCTTCTGTGTCCTGTTGCTCTATTACCGATAGCTAAGTAATTTGATTCCATCATATTCAGCGCATTGAATCACGGCGCTAGCAACTGGTGTAAGGTCAGAAACGGTAGCACTAGCTTCAAGTCTTGATCTACCATATTTTAATTACTTAAGAAAAAGAACATTTATTTATATTACTTCCAAGATGATCGCAGTGTCTGTGCATCACATAGATATCGCGAATTTCATGTGTATAGAGAAGATTTTCAGTTGATTGGTTTTTCCTGAATGACTGGACGGAAGTTAATTTGGCAAAGAACGGCAAAAATATTTCATGTTATCACTGATTATTACTTATGATCATTTGAGAAATATAGATCGCTTTCACGTACGAACTTCGTATAGGCCAGCAAACATAAGACAAGACGAAGAAACCAATATCGTCACTTGATGATTTTAATGGCAAAGATGGATAACATTAAGCAAATAAACTGACCGAATTCGAGCATTTTCTGGTTATCAAGCTTTCAATTATGGGTTTATCTTGGTGGATATCTTCTGATATCTATGAATATGACAAGATAATGCGGAGTGATTTCTGCCAAACGGCGTAAATCTGCCAAACCAATATATGCTGATCCGATATATAATTCCTCAACGTGTCAGTTATTAGGCTTCCTGCAACGTCGTTGACTGTGTGCTTTTTCATGACGCAAATTTACGATGTATACGTATAAATTATTCCAGAACCAGACTATGCCTAGTACCATTTTTGCGTCTTAAAAATATTCGGACAGCTATTAATTTATCAGCTCGAACTGCTTTAAAGATTAGTTTCATTTTGGGGGTGTGGTGTGGTGGGGGTGTGCTCAATCTTTTTTCGAACACCTTCACTATTCATTTATATTGCGCAAGGAAAGTACATGTATTTGAAACGTTTGAAGCTCCTACAGAATTTAATACGGCTTCTATTAATTAGACAAAAACCTCTAAACCATGACTGCTAATAAAGCTGATTTCATTTTTGTGTGTTTTGTTTCAAAAAAGTTATTGTGAATAACTGAATGTAATTGCAGTTTAAGAGTGGTCTTACTTTAGGGTTGGGCGTTCAGGAGAGGCTGTATTGTATTTACCCACGTCTTCTTGATACAAAGAGATAACAATTAACGTTGTCATACATTTAAAGGACGAAATTTTACCAATACGTTCTCTTAATTTAATAGTCAGAATTATGTGCCTTTGAAGGTCATATTTTCTTGAAAGAAGTATAGGGCAACACATATTCTTCAAAACTTGCTGCATACTCATAAATAATATGTAGCGAAAATATGTTACAGTTGTTAGCTAGCATTAAAAGAATAACAAAACGAACAGAGCACGATGAGGTTCACTCAGAGAGAATGGCGGTTGTGGTAAGGTTGGTGTGCCCGTCCATCTAACAAATACGTTATCTCAAAGTCAAATGTTTGTATACCATTTATGAACTAGACAAAACCTATACCTGATGTCCGAAGTGTAAGTTATTGCGCTCCAATTATAGTGACCGTTTTTGTTTATGTATTATAAGGACGGTAGCCTAAGCTATTGAAGTAAAGAATATGTTTACTTTCATCTAAACTTTTTGGTAGGTGAAGTTGTAACCACCCTTTCATTTGTATAACAGAATAACTTTCTTACCGGCTGGAAGGTAATTTCGTCTCGAGATCATTGTCTTTAGGTATGAAAATTTGGCCGCCTTGTTTTCAAATTTGTCCGTAGGGATTTAAGACGCATTATACGTAACATATTTTATAGGCCTCGTGTCATTACGCGTTGCGACACATTCGCCTAATTCGTAACCTGATTAGAAACAAATACTTTGTTATCAAAGAGCCACCTAAAGGAAAAAGAGAAAATTAATTTCAAAAGATAGGTTCTTACTTATCTGTGGTTAATTTGTAACTAATGTAGTTCACTTGATTTTGAAAAAGAAGTGTTTCATACATGTGACTGCTAAAACACTGGGTAATTTCAAGATGTTTTTTTTTTAAATACCGTAAATATACATTATGACATTACTGGTAATTATCATACTCTATTGAATTAACAACAGCAACAAGAGTATGTTCTACTTTGGGCTCCGGGTCCACTCCGTTTTAATTTCGGGTTAAACGATACTCATACCTTTATTTCATTATATATATATATATATATATATATATATATATATATATATATATATATATATATATATATATATATATATATATATATATATATATATATATATACCCAAATGTTTTCCTGGAGAGTGATTTATCAAAATAACATAAATATATCTTGAACTGTCATATTCTGTGTGCCATAAACTCGTAAAATAATGAGCTTCAAATTGTAAGAAAAAATATTTCCCAGTTTTATTATGCAAATTTTACTGTTTTTTTTTCAAGGAAGAGGAGTGCTTGAAAAATCTGTAAACGTCTGTTTTCTTTACCACCATTTTTTTTTTCAAGTTGACTGGTTAAATCGTTTTATTCTATCCTTTACACTAAGTCATAAATATATTTTGGAAGCAGACCATAAAGTATGCAGCGGGATAGGAGACTAGTACACAGAGAACATACAAAATAAGCAGAGAAAAATATATGTTCCCATCATAGATACACAAACGTTCAAATGTTCTGTGACTGTTTAT